GGCAAAATATTTACTGTTATGCCAGTCAGATTAGTCTATTTTAAAGAAATAGGTTATTCAAAATCTGAATGCCCCTAACTGGCGTATGGAGACAGTGATACGCAATACATAGGGTTGTGTGGGACATTTTGCTTCGTGTCATGCCTCCTACTCTTTCCATTGTAAGAAGCAGAGAGTAGGACGTTAAACACCATTTCATTTAATTTCTTTCCATTATCGAATGATGTTTTGCATGCTCGACTGAAAGGTCCTTAATACTTTATGTGTTCGTCAGGATCTAACCTAGGAGTACTTAGCCGAGTGGTGACACACACGTTCAAAGTATATTTCAAGTAAATATACACTTTAAATTATATTTTTACCGTAAAATGACTGGCAGAAAGTTGCCAGTAAAATCACTGTATTTTAACACTGACTTGTAAATGTACCCCCAAATGGTAGATTTAGATTTACAAACACCACGTAAATTTACAGTGAGTGTAAAATAACTTTGAGGTAAATTTACAACCACAGTGTAAATTTACAGTGAGTGTAAAATAACTTTGAGGTAAATTTACAACCACAGTGTAAATTTACAGTGAGTGTAAGATAACTTTGAGGTAAATTTACAACCACAGTGTAAATTTACAGTGAATGTAAATTTATAGTGAATGTAAATTTACCTCACTTTCTATTTACAAGAACAATTCAAATTTACACCGAAGTTATTTTACACTCACTGTAAATTTACATGCTGTTTGTAAATCTAAATCTACCACACTGTAACAAAAATTTCCGTGAAAAAACGTAAAAAATTCCGGAAACAAAAATTACCAGGAAACTTTTATCCGTATTTGTTTTTCCTGTAATTTACAGAAATTCCTTCAATTAACATAAATTCCATTTTCAAATTCAGAAAAAAAAATCCTGGTAAATTTTCTTTCCTGAGCATGAAGATGATGAAAATGTCATTGAATTAACCATTGGCTTTATACCCGTGCGTCAAATAGCTTTATCTAACGTCCGCTTCCACCGAAGTGATATCGCAGATACTCTTTAAACATAACCTCTTTTCGCTAATATATGAATCGAGAGCAAGGTATCACAACCCGCCACTCGTCAGTGGTTGGAGGCTTTCAGTGGTAGACTCTGCTATCGAGACAAACTGACTTACACTGGCCAACGGGTTGTACTATCTGGATTTAAGCCTGCTTGATTACCAGATATTACAACATTACCACACGAGGCATTAAAACATATTTTTACATATTTATGAAAATACTTACAATCTGATTTCCGTATGATGAATAACAATACACTTTATAGATCTTATAAATAATGGAAATTAGATATACATTTCAATTAATATACCAAACGTTACAAAATATGATTCTTCATATTATGGTTAATCCATTGAAATGAATACTATAACATGATCATTATTATAAATGATTATATATGTATACGATTACTTATCGTTGTACCGCTTATCCCATAAAATAACAGAATTAAGTCCATTACAGAACGGAATAAAACATTTTATCCCTAAATTTCACGGAACTTCTTTGTCATTCCACCGTATATTCCGTAAAATAACAGGATTAAGTCCATTATAGAAGGGAATAAAACATTTTATCCCTAAATTTCACGGAAAGTTCCTGTTAAATACTGAATATTCCACAGAAATATATAAAACACGTAATTTGAAGAAATAATTCATGCTTTTAACACAATTTTACCAAAAAATCCTTCGATTAACAGAAAAAAGGTGTTAAACTACGGAATTCGGCCACATCAAAAATGGATATTTTTTACAGTGCACTTAGGTGTAAATTTACAAGTCAGTGTTAAAATACAGTCAATTTACTGGCAACTTTCTGCCATTCAATTTACGGTAAAAATACGCAAATATTATTTACAGTGTATGTTATTGCCGAATACTGAATAACGTGCTGGCTCGTTATTCGGGATTCGACAGTGAAAGAGAGCGACCTGCCTTCCATCCGACCATTTCCTCGATTCCTCCGGCCGTAGGATTATGTGAACGTTGGGTGACCGACTAGCAAGGAGGCGACCGTTTGTCAAGCGAGTAGGGTCTTGACTCGTTTGTTAACTAGCATGCCCTAAATTGCGAAATTAGGGTAATTTTTCAAAATTGTTTATCCGTTTTGATCCTATATATACATATCACATCCAATCTTCAATAGAAGGCTTGATCTTGCTTATCTTGCTTTAACTCCGTACATCTTATTGTGAAACTCGTAGTCATTGCACATTCTATTGCAATTGTTTTGCAGGAGTATTTATATATTGTGCATATCAATTCGAAATGCTGCGAGTACTGGTAATATTATTCCGTTTAACGTTACTGTTTTTATTGTTCAGTCAATTTTCATTGAAGTTATCTTTTAGTATTCGTTTAAATTGCGAAATTAGGATAATTTTTCAAAATTGTTTATTAGTTTTGGTCCTATATATACCACATTCGACTGGAATATGCTATTACTTCAGTAAAGTGGTAATCTTTGTGATTTATTTTTTCAAATCCATAAAATCGATTTCATTAAATTTATACCTAAATAATAATTCCTAGTTTTGTTAAATGATAATCTTTGTGACAACGGTATTATTATTTTTTTTTATTTGATGTAATTGTTTAAGATTGCGCTTGTTGAAAATTATCATTTGTCAGCTTTGATGCATTGCCATGGTATTATTAAAGATTGTATTGTTCTTGTCAACAAGTTGTATTTTTTTAAGGTTATTAAAGGTTAGGCTGTATTAAACAAGTTAACAAATTGTTCTATTTATCTTAAAGGAGCTATGCTCTATAGAGATCCATGGGCGAAGAGTCCCCATTTACGAGGGTCACGTTTATAGAACCCAAGCAGGAACTCTGGAGCCTAGGCGGCCATGGATCCTCGCCTAAAGTCCTAGATCGTAGGTTATTAAAGGTAAGGCTGTATTAAAAATGTTAACAAATTGTTTTTATTTATCTTAAAGGGGCTATGTTCTATACAGATCCATGGATAAAGAGTCTCCAGTTGCGAGGGTAGCGATTATAATAGTAGGGGAGAGCGTGGCACAGTAAGTCACGGGGCACAGTAAGCCAGGCTTTGTAATTTTTGACTGTGTTGGGAAAATTCAATAAATTCATGTAAGCTGATTAATATATATCAGCCATTAACCGTTTTTTCTGACGCAAAAGTGAATTTTTTGTGGACTGGTTAAACTGCTTGGCTACTCAAGATTTTGTTGGAGCCCACAAATGTGAAATTCCAGGTGAAGAGATAATAATTGACTCTCATTAGAAATATTTTGTTTCATAATACTATCACATGCCTTCCTGCCATTTTCGATTTTTAGTTGTAGTTGATGATGGGGCACAGTGGGACACATGTCAGTGGGGCACACTGAGCATAAGCATTTCGAGTTTTACTAAATATCATTTGTCCATTTTAGACAGAATCTGGATATTTGAGCTGTTTTTAAGGAAATATTGGTCCTAGGTTACGAATCCTTACTGACTTACAAATCATAGGAATTTTTGCATAAAAGATTTTTTTTCTCCAGTTAAAGAATTTTTTATTCAATGTTAAGCTGGGTTTTTTTAAATTTCCTGCTGCGTATCTGTGTTCAAGTCTTAAAACAAATTCATATTTTGAACTAAAAGATTAATTTTCACAGTTCTGATGAGTTTCAGTGTATTTACTATACATTTTTCAAAAAAAAAAACATACTTGATGGCCAACTGTGTCCATAGTGTGACCCAGTGTACCTACATACGGGGCACATTGGGTCAAAAAAAATTTTGGTTTTACAATGATCTACATAAAAATGGTTTTAATTTATTAAATTCTTAACAGCTTTGTTAAATCGAACATATGACTGGCTTCAACTGAGTACATAGTTTGATTTTCTGTAGGACTCCACTTCTTGTCAATTTACTAAAAAAACGAAATCATGCACACTGTGCCCCGCTGTCCCCAACACCCGCAGGAGCTTCCGGAGCCTAGGCGACCCTGAATCCTCGCCTATGGTCCTAGATGGTAGGTTAAAGGTAAGCCTGTATTAAAAATTGTTTTTATTTATCTTAAAGGGACAATAACACTCAAGCTGGCTTGACAGCTCCAGAAAATAAAAAAAATAGCCTTATTCTAAGTACTAGATGTGTTAGTGTCCGACCTTTTGTGTAAATTATCCATTAAATCATATTTTACTTGTCCAGAGGGTTCAAAAATATTTTTAAATCCATGTCACATTTGAAAACTTTACGTCAGGCTTTTCAAATCATTTAGTTGAATTTTTCCAATTTTTTAAATTAGGTGTGTTAAGATGAAATTTGTATCATCAATTAATTGGAATATTTTAAAATAGTGCAATTTGTTGACCAGAATAAAGATTGGGACATATTATTCAGTTACAACAAGAGTGGTATTGAGCCTTTAAAGGAGCTATGCTCTATACAGGTCCATGGGTAAAGTAAGAGTCCCCAATTGCGAGGGTCGCGATTATAGGACCCTCGCAGGAGCTTACGAAGCCTAGGCCACCCTGGATCCTCGCCTAAAGTCCTAGGGTAGTCCCCCCCCCCTCCCGAACACAATCAAGATTTGCTTCCGCCGACCTTGGAGATCAATGATTGCAACCTGATTAGTGGATCTTCATAACATAATTGACGATGTCTAACCGTTAAGTGCTTTTTTCTGTGAATCGTTTATTCACAATGTCAACTTGCAGTTATTAAAATTAAAGCCCACATTTGATGAAAACGACTATTTAAAGAATGTAAAACAATGTTTCTCCCCCATTAAAGAGCAATCTGTTTCACAGAGAATTACGAGTCTCGTATAATATTGTCGCGGCCAAGCAAATATTCACTGCGGATCAGTGTGATTAAAGAGCTGACATCTTAGGTGAGGATATGTATAGGCCCGGTATGGAAAAGTTTGGGAAAATAATAATACAATCTTAGACTAAGGGGGTTAATTCCTATTTAGACTTAGAGTTCTTTCCCTTGGCAATATTGCAAGATGGCAGCTTCCAGTATTGAGGAATGGGTCTGTCGCGAATTATCGAAACTTGGCATTGATACGACCCCAGAAAATGCAAGGTAATATTTGTTATATGTAGCAATGCAAATTAGTGTTGTAATAAGAAACGTGTCTATATAGATCGTCCAAGATAAGAAATTATAACCGCATTTTTCACCCATATTGTGCAATAACTTCGGAACTTCTTATATATAACTTATAAGATCTACTTTCAGTTTCAGGTAATTTTATTAAATTTGATTGAACACATAATAGTGACAGTTGATCTATCCTCAGCCCCTGCAGCGTCATGATTTTCCCGTAGGTGTTGGATTGGGAAGGGGAGCAACAGAAATATATATCATGGCTCGAAATGTTCGCCTGTCTTTGTCGACTGGCGTTGACAGGCGATTTTTAAGCCAGGCAGAGGTAGCAAGTAAAACTAGCTGGAAAGGTGTAATGGTGGATATATTGATTCCATCGATTGAAAAGCTGTGCACAGGGTAGCCTACAGTGTATCACTGACAAATTCTGTTAATTGCCTGTGTAGGATCAATAATATTTCAATGCTGCATGCACATGCACTTATTTAGGCCTGTAGGCTACCAGTAACAGGGACAAGGTGGGGCTAAACAACAGATATGATCTTCTTTAAGTGGCATTTAGTAATTGAACAGTAACACACTAACACTATTTATGGAATAACAATCACTGGTTTATTAACATGCAACGTTTCGACGATGATACTCTCGTCTTATCAAGCAAATGATAACATAATTATATGTAAAACATCAAGTATTTATATACAGTATAAAAAGAAGCCATAAATATAGACCTTATATATAACTAGCACTGATCAAAGCGATGATGACAAAGCCCTAAGTTGTTACAATGTACCGCAGCCATAATTAATTACATATCTATAAGGCAGGAGTAAGCCTAATTAGTGATCAGTATTATTACAATGATACAAATAGGTGTTAAGCATTCATAGGGTGTACAATAACACACATTAACTATTATTTTAATAACATTGAAGTTTAATTTATAATAATGGCGGATGTTAGATAGTGTACGAAGCACTAGATCTTATATATGATTAATTAAAGTAATGATTCTGAATGTTATAAATATAATAATAATAATGAAAAGTAATCTGAAGCTAATCCGATATATGATAATTATATGAATAAATTAAGTGAGAATGTAACACCAATCATATTAACAAAATGTATTACTGGAAAATTATTGTATCATATGCGTGGGGGAGATAGACTCCTACATCTCTGTTAAGGGCCGGCTTGTGTCGTCGGATCTGAATACTTTCCATGATTTTCCTTGTCTTCTTAACATGCTGGTTCGCGTTCATCACTTCTACTTTAGACCATTGCATTCTGTGTTTCTTATTGATTTGCAAGTGTTCGGCGACTGCGGATTGGTTATCTTTGGATAGCGATTAGTGTTCCTTAATTCTGATGTTCAGCGGTCTTTTAGTTTCTCCTATATACTGGTTTTCACATGAGCAGTAATCTTCTTATCTTATATGATGTCTTGCCTATGAACGGAATGGATATTCTAACTGCTGTCTCGGGTTTGTGTGGGGAGTTAACTGCCTTCTGATGTTTAGTGATGGTAGCAGAGATAATCTTTTCTACCACTTGAGGTGGATATTGGTTGAAATGGATGAAAACATCTTTCATGTGCTGTAATTCAGAGCAGTACATGGTCAAGTTATTATCCCCACTAGGTAAATCTGCTGACTCCTTTATCAAAGATTCGGCAATAAGAAACACAGAATGCAATGGTCTAAAGTAGAAGTGATGAACGCGAACCAGCATGTTAAGAAGACAAGGAAAATCATGGAAAGTATTCAGATCCGACGACACAAGCCGGCCCTTAACAGAGATGTAGGAGTCTATCTCTCCCACGCATATGATACAATAATTTTCCAGTAATACATTTTGTTAATATGATTGGTGTTACATTCTCACTTAATTTATTCATATAATTATCATATATCGGATTAGCTTCAGATTACTTTTCATTATTATTATTATATTTATAACATTCAGAATCATTACTTTAATTAATCATATATAAGATCTAGTGCTTCGTACACTATCTAACATCCGCCATTATTATAAATTAAACTTCAATGTTATTAAAATAATAGTTAATGTGTGTTATTGTACTCCCTATGAATGCTTAACACCTATTTGTATCATTGTAATAATACTGATCACTAATTAGGCTTACTCCTGCCTTATAGATATGTAATTAATTATGGCTTCGGTACATTGTAACAACTTAGGGCTTTGTCATCATCGCTTTGATCAGTGCTAGTTATATATAAGGTCTATATTTATGGCTTCTTTTTCTACTGTATATAAATACTTGATGTTTTACATATAATTATGTTATCATTTGCTTGATAAAGACGAGAGTATCATCGTCGAAACGTTGCATGTTAATAAACCAGTGATTGTTATTCCATAAATAGTGTTAGTGTGTAACAGATATGATGCCAACCACCAAAATTGGTGTTGCTCTTGGAAAACAATCAAAACCAGTGCCACTGATTGTGAACGTGGGCGGCAGATCTGTGTCAACAAACGGAGACAGTGACATATTCCATTGCTTTATCTCATTCGCACCAGTCAGCACGTTTCATTTCTCACTGCATGGACAAAAATTCAAGAACAAGCCAATGGGCCCCATGCTGGTCGCCGTACTGCAAATGAAGAAACTGGATCAGACCAAATATTCCGAGAATTTTGAAGAAATCGGTGAAAGGAGTTGGAAGTTATATGGCAAAATGAAATCGAGCTGAATCAACTCACAAGAATGTCCCTTCTGCTGCTTCTTGCAACCAGAAGTGTTCTGACGCATAGGCCTATTGCCAAGTAATGGTAAAGGATCAGTCAAAGTGCAAATTAGCAAAGTTGAAGTGCATAGACCCCACACCAGCACCAACCCTTACCCTAAGTATCATCTTGACTAATTTTATGGGCGAAAATGTCAGTATGATTGAATCTTGTTGTACAGAGCCACCTTGTCCCTGACGAGTCATCGCAGGATTTACCCAAATCTACCCAAATCCAAAATATCACAATAACTAATATTGATATTTGATAATATACTGTTCTTCATGCCAAATTGTCATTTTTAATTTCAAATTGTCATTTTAAATCCACCATTATTTCAACTCATATCACAATAATTTATATTGATTTTTCATAATTTGTTGTTACTGCTATTTATGCCAAATTGTAATTTTTGATTTAAATAAATTAAAATCGTAGTGTTTCTAGTATGCCACTGTTGGGTTACTTGTGTTGTATCTTGTCTTATACTGGTATGGCAGTTGCGACTTGCAGCAATTGCAGCCCAAAATTTTACAATAAAACTGAAAATTCAGTGCATATTAACTTACTAAATAATTTATTGGTTGTACTAAAGGTAAATCTGTCATGTGATGTTACTCAATTATGGCATTGTTACTTGTTACTGTAATCTATACTGTTCAATTACAAGTTTTCATTTTTTTTATTATTTATTTAATTTTATGAAATTTATTTAAATGTCCTATATAAAAGAAATTCACTGATAGAATGGCCATAACAGATTTGTATTTTAGTAACCTCTACATGTACGTATCAGTATATTTTTATAGGTTTAGAAATGTTGTCCTATTTGATGCTTCTTTTTGTAATAATGAATTCAAAAGAATCCTTAAAACTACATCATGTACATGTTTCCTTTGTTGCTCAGGCCATTTTCATTAGCTCAGTCGGCAGGATGGAGGGCCTGACAAGGACAGCTATCTAGTCGTTCAGATGGGACGAAAAACTGAGGTCTCCCATACACATTGGCGTGCATGTAAAAGATCCCTTGACAGTTGGAATTCGATATAAGAGTAGGCCGTAGTGCCGCTGTCTGAGCCAAATTTCCCTCATATCACACTGTGTGGCGTATGCCTGTCTTCATTAGTCCAGTTTGGATCAGAACAGTAGGACATTATATAAACCCCATTTCATTTCATTAGCTCAGTGAGAACAGTAAGATTAATATTCACATTTCACTTCTGTTGCTCAGGACTTAATTTACATGAACCAGCCTTGTAATTTTATGTGGTTTTTTCCAGCTACATACTCTCTATAGAAAACAATCAAGATTTAGAAGATTATATGAATGACTTACTTGATAAAAAAGACCCCAAAGTTAGAATCTTTGTTCAAGAATTATTACGAAGAAGCAGTTCAAAGAATTCTCCAGAATGCATTGTAAGTTTTAGACATTTTGATGAATACGATTAAGTGACTCTCAGTGAGTGATAATCAACAATTTCTCTGATGTAAGCTTACATAGCTTTTGTTCATGTTTTTATAATATTAATTCATATTTAATTATGATTCTTTTTAGGTTTTAAAGAAAAATAATGAAGAAGACGTTTACTTTGCAGGGTCAAATAAAATAAAAAAGAAAAATAAAGCACCAAAAAATAAACAAGTCTTCAATCAAGGACAGTTGTTAAATGGTCATAATACTGCAGAAGAGGTAGGCCTACGGTACATGTTACGTGTCATGCGTCCAATCAAACCTCACTGTTAGATAAGCTTCCAAATTGAAAGTTTGAAAACAGATTTGTGGGTGCATATAGAACTGTTCACAATGAAGGGAATCGGAAGAACAATGGAAAAAATGTTACTGTCTTTATCTTCTAAATATATCCAGTTGAAGTAGATAATGGGGTGTAAAGGAAGGTAAAATTCATGAGATAAAGTTACCAATATTTATTATGTATTACAGGTACAGGATTCTAAACCATCTGCTTCAAATCAACAAAATACAAAGTCAGCCCCTGTGATAGATGGTACGAAGAAGAAATCAAAATTTGTTCCTTTATTTAGTCAAGAAGGTCAAGCTAAATCTGTGATTAAACTGTCTGGTAAGTTAATAGTGTTCTTTTTCAAATGTCCCCAAATTGTCTGTTGTACCCCCAAAATGGCATTGCGGTAATCGTTATTTCAAAAAGAGCTCTTCATTTCTAACTATGTGTATGTCTTTAAAACCAGCTTTAGGAAGTGCAGGAAGTCTTTATTACCATGAACCTGCATAATATGTTGCATATGATACACACTACTATAGTTTGTATTTACTTAACTCTGCGCCTACATGTATTTCTTAGTATTGGGTGATCAAGGGAGATAACTGGAATGGCATGCTATCGGCCATTACATTTGCCTCCAAATTTTTTTATCGTTTTCCTTGCATAATCTCATTCATTATTATCAGTATAATTAAGATATCCTGTCATACTATCTCAATGATGAGGTAGTATGTGGTGGTATTTTATCGTTTTCCTTGCATAATCTCATTCATTATTATCAGTATAATTAAGATATCCTGTCATACTATCTCAATGATGAGGTAGTATGTGGTGGTATTTTATAGTACATGTATTGGTTATATCAGCCTGCCCTTTTTAAACACACTTCTGCAATTTGTTTTCTAAGATGATTTTTCTTTAATTTTCAGGACGTCATGTATGTGAATGTCAAGCTGCAAAGCATAAATTAATAAGTAATTGTTTAAAGTGTGGTAGAGTTGTTTGTGCACAGGAAGGTTCTGGTCCTTGTTTATTCTGTGGAAATTTGGTAAATATGAAATTAAATATTACTGTAAAATTCGTCATCTTTACACATAAATAAATTGAATAAAGATTGGGTTCATGCAGAAGGCATAGTAATGTTCAGTCTTTGTAAAACATCTGATACCACTTTTCTTTTGAGGAGATCAAGTTAAACCCATTTTGGGGGTAATTGTTTGATCGTTTGAATCAAATTCTCTAAATCCCCAAAATAGTGACAATCGTATAAAAAGGGGGATTTCAGGCTACACCACATGCATCAACTGCACAAAAAATATTTCAACCTCAGTTCTCAGGAATGGCAGAAATGTGATAGGACTGATTTCCATGCCATTCAATTGTAATTCTATCAATTCGGGACATTCTGGACTGACTATTATTCTCAAGGGAGGTATATAAATTTATTGGACAAGGTTGTCTTACAAGACTAGATTGTCTTACACACTAATTTACATATGAATATTCAATTCTTACCAGGTGTGTACTAAAGCAGAATTTGACATCATATCTAAAGGCAATAAGCAGAGTGAGAAATTACGAAGTCAATTAATGGGTGGTGTTGATGCTCTACAATTGTTAGGACAATCGATATGTAATGATACTCTCTATACACCAACTACACAGAAAAACATACAAGAGGGTGCAGAGAAAGCTAAAAAACATAAAGATACACTTTTACATTATGATAAAACTAGGTAAGTTTATAAACGTAACGATAAACTTTTAACAGAACACAGTTTTTATGGGATACAATCATTAGTTTTATTCTAAAAGCACGACGTTTCGACAAGTATCCTCTTATCGTTATCAAGCACAAATTTAATTGAGATTACATAGATAAAAAGATTTTAATTATTTTACTTTTTACATTCAGTGAACTGTTGGACCTCTTGCATGTTTTGTTTTTTTTTGTTCCATCTAGTTGTCTTATATAATGTTGTTTCTTTTTACAGTGTTAAAAGAACAAAGGTTTTAGATGATGAATGTGATTATTTTGCAACAGATTCTAACAAATGGTTAAATCCAGAAGATCGACAAAAATTAAAAGAAAGAGAAGAGGAATTGCGATCTGAACGACATGCTTCTCGTAGAGACAGAAAAATAACATTTGACTTTGCTGGTAGAAAAGTTATTGATGCGGAAAAAGACAATTCTAAGAATATGTATGATGTGGATGATGAAATTGTTCAACAAGTGCATTATGGGAAATCATCTAAATCATCCAAAGACATACCCAAATTAGATCCTAGTGATTTTAATCCTTTAGTTAATCCAACTATAGTACAGCCAGCTCCTCAGGTAATGAAAATATGCTTAGATGCAATGAAAACGCATCACTGATTTGACTGCAAGTACTGAAGGAACATAAGGCAACACAAATAAAATAACTTGTTTCTCGGGCACCGCCCGCACGCAAAATTGGTTGCGCGTGCAGTCTATTTATTAGTCTTGATGAAAAAAAATAAATATGTAACGCCCGCCCGCACATCGACAAGCAAGTCGTAAAAGAAATATCCCGCATGTACCTACATCCGCCATACATGTATATCTATTCAAATGTATTAAAACTGATTCAGATGAACATGCTGTCTTTTTTATCCGAACAATGGCGAAGTTTGGCAGATTTGCCTTTTTTATTGATATCGAAAGAACCTCCATTTTGTATCACGTGATATTAATTACCTCCCCTGATAAACTAGAATTTGATTCGTGTTAAAAGTCATTGGCGACAATATTTCAATCATTCGATCGTAATCGGCTCATTATTGCCGGCTTCAGTCGGTCCTTGTTTGGAAAATCCTATTGATAAAATAATGAACCGTAGAACAGGTTAATTAATTATAGCTAAGAATACGATACGATGACGATAGTCGTCATAATGCATACCTTAGAATCTGGGTCATTATTAGCACATTTACGGTAGTTTCGATAATCCGGAAAATAATAATTGGATTACCGATTTGATGGTTTTACTGACCAGTTGTTAGTTAGATTTAAATAGTCATTCAATATAAACACCGGATAGAACACCGAATATCCTGAGAAACACACCGAATATCCCAAGAAACAGTATTTCCGGCAATCTCCAATACCGATGACACGGTGTGACATGCATTGGTTGGAATTCGGTAAATAATTATAAATAAACCGGCGATACTAGATTTAGTTTTAAATACTGTTTACCATGATTATTATTTTTGATACACCTGGTGAAAGAGGCTTAGTTTTTAAAAATATTGTTGTCTTTATGGAGGGCTATTACATAGTCGTATGGAATTTTATTTTAAACCAATTAAATATGGAAAATTATTTTCCTTTCAGTCAGTGTTCAGTCTCAGTGTTTTAGTAGACTTGATTTTGGGTTTATGTTTTAAGTATGTACAATAAAGTTGAATATAACGGAAAGCAAAAACGTAAACAAGTAATGACTTTCTCATTTAAAAAAAAAAAAAAAGAAAGACCGCCCTCCCGCCCCAACAATTTTCAGCAATAGCCAAATTTTATTTTGCACCATCAATGAGTAAAAAAAAAAAAGAAACCGCCCTCCCTCCCTACAGTTTCAGCTGTCAGTTGCCCGAGAAACAAGACATTTATTTTGTGTGGCCTAATGCAGCTGAAATGTGATTTTTGGCTTCAACTGGGAGTTTACCGACACAAGAAAATCAACAGCAATCCATAGAGGGCATAACAACTTACTATAAAGTAAAAGTCAGTAATGCATAGACACACACACACCATGCACTTCATGGAGGAGATAAGCATTGAAATGGTTGCTTGTGGGATCCTTTTCGACTCTCCTTGCAATGATGCGTGCAGTGGCCCTGGTGCTTATGCTATCTTGAATTAATACAATGGACCTTTCTTGCCTTTTTGTAGGGTCAGTCAACTTTATTACTGCTTAACATTAAATTGAGTATAAAAACAAAGATAGTTGGCTAAAAATGATCATAGTATCACTATTTAACTTTTCTTGTAATTTGATATTTTCTCCATTTATTTCAGTTTGTAGCAACAGGAGAGTCCTTTAGTCAAAAACTGACAAAGAATTCTCATACGGTTGATGGAGTAGATCCGAGAAAGAAATCTACTTTAAGAATACAAGATAAAGAATTACAAGAGATGAGTGATGAAGGAATGTGTTTAAGTATGCATCAACCCTGGGCTTCTTTACTTACTAAAGGCATTAAAATGTAAGTTAATCTTCTTAAAACATATTATAAATATTGAATAAAGTAGAGGCCACAATTTTGATTTGATTTTGATGAAACTTGAAATACATATTTATTAAGCAAAGATCTTGGTTCCTTTCGATATTTGCGCATATCGGATCATTACTTCCTGAATTATGGCCATTGATTGTATGAAAAATTTCGTTTTTAGCTTCTGGTCCCTCTAGAGGTCACAATTTTTATCCGATTTAAAAAAACGTTTGAATATATCACCGTTACACCCTAATGATGGTTGAGTTTGTATTTCTGAAAATCGGACCAAAACTGCCGGACAAAATGGCCACCCCGTGTACGCAAATAGTGTATATATGGTATATCAAGGTTGTGGACGCTCTAGAGGCCACAATTTTGATCAGATTTTTGTGAAACTTGAAATACTTGTTTATAACCCAAAGATCTTGGTTCCTTTCGATATTTGTGCATATCAGATTGTAACATCCTGAATTATAGTCCTTGATTGTACGAAAAATCGTGTTTTTCGCTTGTGGTCCCTCTAGAGGTCACAATATTTATCCGATTGAAAAAAAAAGTTTGAATATTTCACCGTTACACCCTAATGACGACTGAGTTCGAATTTCGTGAAAATCAGACAAAAACTTCGGACAAAGTGGCTGCCTCTTGTATGCAAATAGTGTAAATATATGGTATATCATGGTTGTGTCCATTCTAGAAGTCAGATTTTTGATCCGATTTTGATGAAACTTGAAATATAGCTTTATAACCCAAAGATCTTGGTGCCTGTCGATATTCGCGCATATCGGATTATAACTTGCTGAAATATGGCCCTTGATTGTACGAAAAATCGATTTTTGTTTTAGCTTGTTCTCTATCCATCTCTTGCAAAATGTGGGCGTATCCTGTCTGGCAGCTGTTGGTTTAATTGACCAATCAAATTCATGTAAAGCAATATCTCCTAATGAGGTATCGATGAGTAGATTAGTAGATTATGAAAGTTATCACACAAGCGATATCTACTGTAGAATGTGTTATTGGGTGATAAATTTTAATAATTATATATCTATGTAAAACCTAAAAAATTTTGTCATCTGGTTTATAGTTTTAGTCAATATTTTTTGTTTCTTGTTTGTATCGTTATAGGTCATATATATGTTGATAAATCTATAATGAATCAACTTGTATAATATATTGTAGGCCTACTTATATTGTTACACATTTTATTTTTATTGTCCAGTCATGAAGGTAGAACATGGTATACTGCTCATAGAGGTAAACTATGGATAGCTGCTACATCAAAAACGCCTTCATTGGAAGAAACAACAGAAGTTGAACAATTTTATAGATATCATTATGAAGGTAAATATGTAGAATAATTAATAGTCTCGCTAAAATGGTGTTTCCAGCTATTCCATTCCAGGGTTATTGTGACTTTACGCTTAAGGGAAGCAGATTTGTTCGAAATTTTAAACAGATAAAAACACTTATTTGTAATAAAAAGTTTTTTTATCAATCGAGTGAGTATAGCTTTCTGTTCCCAGAAGTCATACAAACGTTGTTACATCAGAGACTAAATATAGAATGATTGAAAAGTTCTGGGATTTTCTATAATAAATGAAAACATGACTAGATTGTAATGATAAACTGTCCTCAGCACACTTTTACATATGTGCTGTATGGAAGCTTGATCTATTTCTTCTACATGTATGTAAATCTGAATTTTTATTGTTATCCGTTCTTATTTCTTATAAAAACCAAGACAACCAGATTTGTTTATATTTGTATATTTTGTTTACAGATGAGAATTTATCATTCCCGAGTCATTATCCTGTCGGTTGTTTATTAGGATGTGTTGATTTTGTAGACTGTTTATCACAAGATGAATATAGACAGAAGGTAGGTAAAACTGGTAATAGATGCCAAACATCTTTCATCCGTTCTTATTCAATTATGATACAGAAAAGACTTGGTCATTTCAATAATTGGCTTGAGTTCATGTTGAGTACAGTGGACTCTTGTCACATCAGACTTCTGATTACTCAGGCACTCTGTGAAATCCGACATCATTTTCTTGTCCCGATTTATTTACTTATTACTTCAGCTAAATAATCTCTGGGTAATCCGTACTCCGAATTACGGCATCAATCAGCCGTCCTGTTACACGATTTCCATTGAATCAACATTGTATAATCCGGCCTTCAATCGGTGGGTGTGAAGCCACAAAAGATTAATAAGCAATCACGAATCAATTATTGGTGAGATTTAAACTCGTTAGCGTAGGTCTTTGTTGATTACTTTGATAATTTTATAATCTCTTGTAAGACAGTTGTGACGAATTTTCCCACGAATTCACAGACATAAAAAAATAATTCCTAGCACCTGTTGGAAACATTCGTTGTGCATGCCGATTGAACCTGAATACCTAAATTTGTTCACCCTACGAATTTATCCGAACCGTATGATGACGACCTTGACATAGAACGACAGATTATCAATAAACACGTGATAGTAAAGACAAGTGTGCAATCAACTGAAGACGATAAATTAACGACAGACTTGACATATTCAAAATGCCTACGCATGTTAAATGAAATAAAATTTAATGTAATAGAATTTTGAATGTACAGAAGGTTTATCATTTTTAAGGGGAATAACATTCTGGGCATTTGAAGCTACATTATAATAATACTTCTGGTTTTCGAAGTTACAGTATTTCTGGTTTTGAGAAAACTGAGTATTCTGACACGCTGCGTAATCCGACATATTTTAAAGATCCCATACGATGTCAGATTTGACAGAGTCCACTGTATTTAGATGGGTTCCTTTGATGTTGCACTGACATACTTAAATTCTAAACAGGTTCAGTTGGTTTCGAGTCTTTGTTGGATGTATTGCTTATGGACCACTTGAGCCACATTTGCTTAACTCATGACTTGTGTCTCATTTAACCAGAGCTGTTCACAGTTGATACATGTATTGTTTCCCTTAATGATATTACCATTGTATGAAATGGGTACAGTATTCCAAATGCCATTAATATATTGATTTTGTATATTTATAGTTTCCTGAAGGTGAATCAGCCTCCCCGTATGTATTTATATGTCAGTATCCTCAAGAATTAATAGTTAAATTTCCTATGAAAGGAAAACATAAAATATGTAAGTAATTCAAGAAAATATTCTGGTTTTCCAAAAACGTTTTTTTTAATGCAGATGCCATCAGTTTTGTTATGAGTAAATGAAAAAACAAACAAAAGCTCTGATCATTATGAAAGATTTATTTATGGCTTGTGAATGAAAAGAGCTAAACTGCTTGGATGCTGTATTTCAATAAGATTAAATTTTTCTTTTAAATTGTAAAGCAGACATCAGTTTGCCCCCTATTTTTATACGCCCACATTTTCATGTGGACGTATATTGCCGTCTCCCCTGTCCGGACGTCCGTCTATCCGTCTGTCTGTCCGTCTGCCTGTCTGTCCGTCCACAATTTTTATCTGATTTTAACGAAACTTGAAATATAGGTCTATCTCCCTAAGATCTCGGTTCCTTTCGATATTGGCGTGTATTGTACCATGACTTCACAGATTATGGCCCCTGATTGTACGCAAATAAAACATTTTAGCTTGTGGACACTCTGGAGCTCACAATTTTCATCTGATTTTGATGAAATTTGAAATGCATGTTTATAACCCAATGATATTGGTTCCTGTCGATCTTCGCGCATATCGGGTTTGTAAATTCCCGAATCATGGCCCCTGATTGTATGAAAAATCGTGATTTTAACTTGTGGTCACTCTAGAGGTCACAATTATTATCCGATTTAAAAAATCGTTCGAATATATCATTGTTACACCGTAATGTCGGTTGAGTTCGAATTTCGTGAAAATCTGACCAAAACTGCCGGACAAAATGCATGCCCCCCCTGGTACCTAAATAGTGTAAAAATTTGGTATATCAAGTTTGTGGACCCTCTAGAGGCCACAATTTTGATCAGATTTTGATTTAACTTTCAATTCATGTTTATATGACAAACTTCCTGGAATATGGCTTCTGAATGTACAAAAAATCACGTTTTTAGCTTGTGGACCCTCTAGAGGTCGCAATTTTTATCCGATTTTAAAAAACGTTTATATGTATCACCGTTACACTCTAATGACGGTTGAGTTCGAATTTCGTGAAAATCGGACCGAAACTGCCTGACAAAACGTCCGCTCCTTTTATGCAAACTGTGTGTGTAATACGAAGGCTGTGGACCCTCTAGAGGTCACAATTTTTGTCCGATTTTGATTAAACTTAAAATGTATCTTTATATCGCAAAGATCTCAGTCCCTGTCGATATTCGCACATTTCAGACCATAGCTTCTTGGATTATGGCCCTTTTTTTTTTTTTTTAGCTTGTTCTCTATCCATCTCTTGCAAAATGTGGGCGTATCTTGCCTGGCAACCACTGGCTACTTTCGATTTTAACTTAACTGCCTATATAGAAGTACAAAATTAGTTAGCTCTATATGGGGGAGTGGTGGTGGATGGCTGAATGGTTAGTGGGTGTGCGTTGTATCATGAGTCATCTGGCGTGATTTTGATTCCCCAGTTGTATGTTTCAAAGTCGCTTCCCACTGCTAAAGACTCCTACGCGCACGGGAATTATTGAAATATGTGTGAACATGCTTTAAAATGTGGAAGGATTATATACACACTTTTCGAAGCAAATCAACAAATTAAACTCTTGACTGATTGTCATGGAGGGGGATTTTTAAACTAAAGTACCAGTATGTCATGTCATATTTGGCATCTTATAAATGGGTTGTGGTGAAAATAAGCAAGCGTGGCATACAATCTTTTGATCGGTTTCTTTCAATCTGATTCAATCCAAGCCCAGGGGTGTATCTACCATCGATATTTTGGCTTTGTTATATTGTCTGAAAAATGCAAATGACCATAACTGACTTCAATTAAATCAATACTTTTTTTTATATTTTTCCACCCAAGTTAAAAAAAAAAGTCATTTAAAAAAAAATTACTTTGTGTTCCACTTTAAATTTGTCTGAAGAAAGAAATCCAATAATTATAAGATAATGGCCATTTATGATGTTATCATTAGCTTTATTCCTGCATTAATCTTGTCAAAAAAAACCAAACCACCATTTTTATTTACCATCTATGTTTCGTTTAAAGGGATTTTAATTACTGTAGTTATATTTTGCCAATGAATGTTTTTTATGCTCAGAAATCTCATTCCACATTTTTCACTGATATTTCTTTTTTTTATCAAATTTTTCAGATAAGCTTGATCCAAATATTCACCAGGGTGCTAAAAAAGGTTTACGTCAGTTGACAGATGTTTGACAGTGATTGACAGCTGATATTCTATATTTATAGTAATATATATGTACAATATTATAGACATCATATCACATCATAAACAATACATACATCATATTGACTGAATAATAACTCATTCATTTCCATGAGAACTTTGTATGAATATTGGAGACATTTTACGCTGGATTCAACTGCTTTTATTCATGGTGGGAGTAGACCCCGCGAAAGTAAATATGTTCTAGATAACTTTGCTGATCACAAGAAAATACAAGTTTAGATTAATGTTTTATTGAGCAATATTTTTTTTTCACTCCTAATTAAAATAAAGACATCCTATAATCAGAGGTGTTACCAGGGAATTCTGGTGATGGGAACTTGTGTCCAATTAAAAAAAAAACAGGTGTGTCCTTGTGAAATTATGATTTTGGCTAGTTCTAGCTCCTCTTGGCTCACTTGTTAATGATTTTTTTCGTCTAATGGTCAATATGCGTTTTACCCTGTCGGATGTATTTTTGACCATCTGTTGGAATATAGAAGTGTAGGCTATTTTTGGGTATTTGTTGCCTCTGTCAGCTTACTGTCCAAATGCATGAAGCAGGGTCAGATCCTGCATTTCAGGACTTTCTGTGCTTGGAAATCTTGTGCCTAGGATAGCAATCACATTCAAGTTTTTCTTTTGGATAAGCTCCTGTCTATGGCTGTAAATGTTTTTTTAAACATAGCTATGATATGGGTGTATTAGCCTAATTAGTAATTCACGGTTTGCATTGATGTCTTTGATTAGTTATGTTATGATACTTTAAAAATATATGATATTTTACATTAACAACGACTTCGGTAAGACCGAATATCTGTACGTATCGCTACTGTCCAGGCACAGTTTCCCTCTTCATGAGCCCAGACACAGCAGAAAGGTCAGACGTTAATCCCCATTTCACTTCATAAGACGGCATTTGGACTGCATATGTTAATTACTCAGTCAGTTATTGCGCTTGACTTACAATCATTGGGTGTTGGTATGCGTCTTTTTATCCAAATTACTTGTTTGCAGAGTTTTACACACTGCAGCACAGTATTTTTGATGATTCTTTACCAAACTTACTGTGGTTATCCCTCTAGTAAATAGTCAAGATTGGGTACACATTACCCCTATGATTTAAAAATGCATTATGTAAGAATTAGATAGAGAGCTAGCTATACTAGTTCAAAAATGGATAATGAATAGTTAAAATTTTCAGTCAAATTAATTTATTCTGTGCGAAGTTATCAGTGTCCAAAGTTTTGACAAAATGAAGCGGAGATTGGCCCAGATGTTTTAACGTACTTAAAATTTAAGCGACCGGATGGCCCAGGGAGTTGATTATGGGCTTGTCATGTTATTAAATGGTTAAATATAACAATTTATATAATCAGAAAAAGAGCTGCAGTATTCAAGTTTCGCTCTTACTTGGAAGGAGAGATATTTTAGTGAATAAAACTGGTTAATTCGCGGTGAAATATCCATGTAAGCCTTTATCTCGAGGTCTGTGATACTTTTAGGAAGAAATACAAATTTTCAAGTTTTACCTTTGGGCTGTCCTGAGTCCATATATTTCGCACTATGGTATTGCCTGGATAACCATACCAGTGTAGTGTCCCAATTAAGAGTGGTATGGGATTGACACCATTATTAAGTCACTCATACAATTTAAGAATATAAATCCTGAAATGGGGTAACCAGGCAAAGCGTAGCTATCATTGCCGAACGACCCAGAATACCCACTTTTATTATGGTGCCCTTCGAAATCTTGGACTTCTCCGTTAAACTTCTTATAAAGTCTATCCACAGATGACAAGGTGTCATTGCCTTGCAAACCTGTGTTTACTTTTTTTTTAAATGAGATAACAGATGTTGATATCGGTCTTAATTTCATTTATATAAAAGTTGGTATATATTATTGTATATAAGATGAAGATGAAATATATGAATTAACCATTAGTAACAAAACATCATCGATTTGTAAATGCCATTGTTAAGTTTATTATATAATCCATAATTAAATCAAATGTTTGGGAAATTGTTGGTGTCATTTATTTTATTTTATTGACTAGCCCCGCTTAGTAATTCGGGGTTAGTTTTGCCACATAATAAGTCTGTCGTGTATATATTTTCCTTGGCGTGTGAACTATGTTAGACATATTCATTTGATGTCCAGTTCCTCAATATTTTGACAATAAAATATTAAGAACCTAATCATACGACCCCAAATGATTGTGTAATTGGTACAATATTTAGCTGACGGAATGTTTAGATTAATAAAGTAAAAGTTATATACTATAAACTATTAATTTAAGTTGGATTGGAATGTTGCTACTGTATCCGTCTCGGTAAGCGCTACCATGCACCCTAATCGTTTAAGGTTCAGATTTTAACGTATCAAATTTCATACAGTGACCCTTACTTTCTCACTTATCATCCTGGGCAATCACATTATACACACATATATATATGATACATGTATAACTGCCCTGTATATATATATATATATATAGTTAGATATTAGAAATAAAGATGTTTAGGAAAGAGTTTAAACTAGTTGGAATTGGTAAAGTTTGCCCGAAGAAGCTTAATAAAGCGGAAAGTACTCGCAAAAACCTAGTTTTCTTCCCTAAAACATCTTTATTTCTAATATCTAACTATAGATATACAGGGTAGTTATAACACTTGAAATGGGCTGAATAAGACTTGATGAGGCCCTAAGTGATTTTACGGTTGGTGAGGTCCTAAGTGATTTTACGCTTGTATGGATGCCCTTTGCACTGCCGAAGGTTTAAGTTCTTACTTAAATTAATGACATTATAAAGCATTATAAAACTGCACATGAAAGCTTTTTACACAGGGTATAAAAAGACAAGAACAATTTTGCTAGCCAAATTTATTCCTAAATCTGCCAATGCATGTTGAAGCATTTTATTCAAAATGAACACAAATTTTGATTAAACAATCTTATAATTCAGGGGTAGTGGGCACAGTTTATGCAAATATAATTATAAAGTCACGGCAAAAAACGACCCCATTAAAATTTGGGTGAATAGAAGTTATTCCACGTAATACTCGTTGAAATACTAAACCATTGATGATATCAATGTCTTACCCGTTAATAAACCCCGACTGCGCAATATTCAGATCATGGAAACTCATTTGTATGTTAATTAAACATACATTATGCAAGAGCCAAATCTTCCAATTGCGGACCTTTCTTTAGGCCTGAAATGTTATCTAAATTATTAATTAGACATTAATTAACTTATCCAGACCATAACCATCTCTCGATGGCAGCGCTAGCCTGCGATATTTACTGGATTAGAATCCGGTCTGCTGCTTCTGATTAAATCAAAAACTGGATAATCGAGACTATGTTTTTTTTTTATCGTACCGACTTTAGTAATGAGATCGAGGCTAGGCCAAAAATTCAATCGCTAAATACTCGGTTCAGGGTGGATCAATCTGACTGAAATATTCAGCAAATTCCCTTTACATTACCTAGTTTTTACCTATTATAGTGAGAACTATCAGCTCTTTATCTGATCCCCGATAATGTATCTTTAAACCAGCCCATTACATACATGTTAGGCCTGCATGTTGCGTATACACAACCAGTCACCCCCTGTCTATAAGCATCTCCCTTACTCAAAAGGCTAAATTATATTACAGATAGATGTATAATAGATAAAAGAAAGTCAACCAAACACGTTTTGGAATATTTTTAAGAACACAATAGAGAGAGAGAGAGAGAGAGAGATGGGGTTTAACGTCCACTCGACACAAACTAGGTCATTTCGGGACTAACATGGTTTAATTTTATTTACATAATTCGCTTGTGCGTAGGGGTCTTTAGCAGTGGGAGGAAACCGGAGGACCCGGAGAAAACCCACGAGGTTGGACAGGCGACCCTACTCCTTGCCACGCACAACCGGGGATTCGAAACCACGCCAGTCGACTCAATGACAGACTTTATGATACAGCGCGCGCACGCTAACCATTCAGCCATCCAACCCCCCGAACACAATAGAACAAGTAACTAAAAACCTGTCCCTATCTTCCCTTACACCATATCACGCTTGTAAACATGTATGTTCATTATCACAAATATTAGCACGTACCTCAACAGTTAAAGTCTCAGCGGGAGAATTAAAAATCTTTATGGGTTTTTAGAAAGGGACTTGTTTTTCAACATCTCCACATAAGCCTACAGATTTACCATTATTACTACGGATATCCACAAATGAACTGCTCTGATATCTATAATATAGACTTACCAATCCGATGATGGTGAAAGAGAAATTGAGTTTATTAACATCATGTCGGAACTGACATATGGTTCAATTTTATTTTAAAACTTCGCTTGTGCATAGGGGTCTTTAGCAGTGGGGTGACCCAGAGAAAAGCCACGAAGTTGGACAGGCGACCCTACTTGAATAACTTGTCACGTATAAGCGAGAGAATCGAAACCACGCCACTTCACTCAATGGCAGACATTGTGATCTAACGCGTACGCCTTAGCCCCCCCCCCCTCCTTGAGGTAATCTCGTGTAATGTTGAATTAATGCAAGGACTTCTTTAAAGGGAATCAATCCCCGGGTGCTGTACAGTATGAATAAAAGAAATGCGATCAATGCTTAAGCTCTCGAAAATATACAGTATGTTTTATTGACTGATTAGCCTACATCTAAATATTTTTATTTAAATATATCCAGACTTTTATTTTGTTAGCATCTTTAATAGCTTTTAAGATAGAAGAGATAATCATTGAACAGTTGCCCGAAGTACCACATAGCACATAATATGTATAGTTTTGTTTAAGTAGATAGACTTTCTGCTCTATGAAGGATTTTGAAAAATTTACTAAATTTTCTTTAAAATTCCCTTCCTCTATTTTTGACATTTTTCTAATATGGCAGCCATGCATAACATTTTAAAAATACTTCCCGAACTAGTATTTTAAAAATATATAATTTAATATTATGTCACACACAGTCACATTTCCTTACAAATAGAAAGAAACATTGTTTATAAGAAGCCACATTATCTTCGCACTGAAATACATAATACCTAAATACATATTAAATTGTAATAAAGACTGAGATATTCATTACACGTTAATAGGTAACTTCATACCCAGCTTATATCTGTGTGAGCATAAAGATTTAACTTTTGATCTTCACAACGGTTAGTTCTAGGCGCCTTATCCTTGTCACCAGTATATATAATTATTCATTAAATCAAGGGGCGTACTTCATTGAAATTTATATAGATGTTAAATTATCAAGACTGATCAGAAATACATCATTAGTTCACTGGAAGCAAGGACGTAAACATCGCCGAAAGATTGTGTACAACAAACACTCTTTGAATAGGGTGTGACATCTTTGAGGATGATTCTCGTCGGCTTAATTCTGGTGCTGTCTCTTTGGCAGACATCGGAAGCAGCCATGCCAGCTATTACAGTAGCAGGTGAGTGCCAAAGAATGAAAGTTATATCATTTAAATTTAATTTTAGAATTAGTTTTGAATTTTTGTGGGCGTATCCTTACAATGATAGACCAATAAATAATGTTTTATGTTCAATAAATAAATGCCGCTACCATGGAGTTGGCCCCATTTCTTCTGTTGCTCCTTGCACATAAAAGTTCCAGTGAAAGTTGGAGTTCGATATAAGTCCAGGCAAATGTTTCCTCTTAACACACTGCATGTCGTACGCCTATCTTCGTTAGCCCAGTAGGATAAAAAGTGGGACGTTAAATTCCATTTTATTTAATTTTATCTCTATTATTTACATTTCCAAAACTAAATGGTTTACAATTTACTAACAACCTGTCTCCCCCATTTTTTAGGATTTAGTATTAAACTAGTAAATGGTACTGTTGGTCAAGGAAGGGTAGAAGTAAGACGTACCACAACAGAACAGTGGGGAACAATTTGTGATGATCTTTGGGGCGATGTTGATGCCACGATTGTTTGTCGAATGTTTAATTATAAATATGGAACGGTAAGAAACAATATAAAGAGAATTATAGGTGTTGTACACGAGGCAGGATATTATATGTATAATAATTAAATGCATCATGTCATATTTTATCCTTTAATATGAGAATGGGGTTTAACGTCCACTCGACACAAACTAGGTCATTTCGGGACTAACATATAGTTTAATTTTATTTCAAATTTTCGCTTGCGCGTAGGGGTCTTTAGCAGTGGGAGGAAACCGTTGGACCTGGAGAAAACCCACGAGGTTGGACAGGCGACCCTACTCCTTGTCACGTACAACCGGGAAATCGAAACCACGCCAGTTCACTCAGTGACAGACCTTATGATACAGCACGAACGTGCTAACCATTCGGACATCCACCCCCTCATTCAATATGTATACTCAGATTACAAATACATGCACATCATGTATACATAACGGAGAGTATATAAACCGCTTCTACATATTTATTTACATTTTGTATCTATAATAAGAAGCTGGGGGGGGGACCACATTAGACGCAAAACAACAAATATCAAATCAAGTGAATGGACCCGGGGACCAGCACTAAGCGTCCACAGCGCTGTGCAGTCCCGGGCCTGTAATGATACAGGCTTTACTCAAAATGAAAAACAAAACAATGACAAATGATTTACAAAAACGACGTAATAGAAACAATGCGACCGGTCTGGACGGTGGTCAAGAATAGAAATTGTTGATCTGACTGCGCTAGTATATCTTTTGCTCTACACCTGGAGTGATTAATATGTAAATTGTTACCAATATCTTTGTATATGGCTTATCGTTTTTCAATCAATATGTATTTTATAGGCAATAAAATATGCAGCCTTCTCCCAAGGCACTGGCCCAATATATATGGATAATGTAGATTGTAGAGGAAACGAAACCTCCTTGGCCAATTGCTCTTTTGCTGGTTGGGGAAGTCATAATTGTCGTCATTATGAAGATGCTGGAGTCAAATGCTTCAATCAAGATGGTTTGTTATCAATCTTTTTTTTTTTTAAAAAAAAATAATATTTTTAAATGTGATTTGGGTGATTGTGTACATCAATAACAGAAGAATTTTCTATGTACATTTCAGTTGAGTTGCAATCACT